AATGGAAGTGCATTACCTCTTCTAAACAAACCCTTTTGTCTGCAGTAGTGAGCCCCAGCCGCCCCTGCTCTGCTCCGGGCCACACTTCCCCAGCCTCCCAAAGCCTTCCCTGCAGAAATGCCAACCCTCGGGCCTTTAGGAAAGCAACTCAGACTTCCACCAGACGCAAATTGTCACCAAAGCCTGCAACATAATCTCTACCAAATGTGCACGATGTATTTCCTTTTTCTTCTTCTTCTTTTTTTTCTTTTTTCCTGAGACAGAGTCTCACTCTGTCACCCAGGCTGGAGTGCGGTGGTGCCATCTAGGCTCACTGAAGCCTCTGCCTCCGGGCTCTCACGATTCTCCTGCCTCAGCTTCCCGAGTAGCTGAGATTGCAGGCGTGCACCACCAGGCCCAGCTAACTTTTGTGGGTTTTTTTTTTTTTGAGGGGGTGGTTAGTATAGGTAGGGTTTCACCGTGTTGGCCAGGTTAGTCTCAGACTTCTGACTTCAAATGATTCACCTGCCTTGGCCTTCCAAAGTGCTGGGATTACCGGTGCGGGCTGCCATACCTGCCAAAGTTGCATTTTGGTTTTTTCTTCCTCCTCCTCTCCTTTTTCTTCTTCTTGTTCTGTTTGTTTTGCAGCAAGGTCTCACTCTGTCGCCCAGGCTGCAGCGCAATGGTGCCAACACAGCTCACTGCAGCCTCAATCTCCCAGGCTCAAGTGATCCTCCCATCTCAACCTCCCAAGTACCTGGGACTACAGACACACACCACTACACCTGGCTAATGTTTCCACGTTTTGTAGACATGGGGCTTCACCATGTTGCCCAGGCTGGTATCCAACTCCTGGGCTCAAGCAATCTGTCCGCTCAGCCTCCCAAAAGGGTGGGATTACAGGCGTGAGCCACAGTGCCTGGTGTTAGATGCATTTCCAAGTGCTCTGTGGAAACCATCTCATTGATTGCTCCTGTGAGGTGCTCATTATTATTCCCAGTTTACAGATGAGGAAACTCAAACATAGAGAAGTTCAGTTTGTCCAAATTCCCAAAGAAGCCAAACAGGGATCTGAATATGGGCACTCTGTCAGGCTACAGAGCCCAAAGCCCTTGATACCACCTAAAACGGCCTCATGGGTTGGCTCCTGCAGTTTCTCATAAGCCTGATTTCTTTAGGGCCAAGCCTAATGTCATTCTAATCCCGGGGACGTTCCGAGGGGCATAGAGACAACTGGGTCTCTGAACATAGAGACCAGGGGGAAGAAAGCCTTGTCTATGAAACATGATGCCCTGGCCAGGCCTGAAAGGGGTCTGACGGGACTCTAGAAACCCCCGCAGGAGCAAACAGGCCGCTGGAGACTTTCTGTGAACTCGAGGGGTCAGAAAGCCCAGGCAAGCACGGGCCCCTCGAAACGCATCTTCCTGTGTCAGAGGCATCTGCTCTGATAACTCATCGCTGTCTCTGTTAGCCTGGGATGCGGGGTGTATCTTTCTTCCTGGAGGCTTCAGAACAAACTGACCTTGATTCCCAAGGTCAAATTATTAGGCTGTGTTAGAATTCATCAGAAATTATCTTGAACCAAATGAGTAACAGGTAACTGCAAGGCCTCCCTTCCAACCGACCATGGAAGGTCTACCAGCCTCCTCAGGGAGGCCAGACCTCCCTTTTGCCCCACTAGCCCAGCCATCCCACAAAACACACACCAGCCCTCTGCGTTCCAGGCTCCTTTGGGCATTCCCCTGTGTCTCCATCCTCCTCTGGCCCTGCTTAATGAGACTGTGTGCTCTGTGAAGATGATAACGGCCCACATGTGTTGAGTGCTTGCTGTGTGTTGAATAGTAACAGTCTCACAAGAGCTACGGGATGAAGCTGCTGTCATGATCCTTACTTTACAGATTAGGAAACTGAGGCTGTAAATCATTAACTTGGCAAAAGTCACCCAGATCCTAAGAGATGGAATCAGAATTCCAATCAGGTTGCCTGTGCTCCCAGCCCCCATTCTTGGCCACGTTTATAGTCTCATGGGGTTTGGGACACAAATGAAAAGCCTTCCACTTACCGCTTCCCAGCTTGAGAAAAGTCCATGCCACACACTTCCACTAGGAGACTGAGATCCTACAACAAGAGTTGCTTCCATTTTGAACAAGCATGCTCCTTTCAATGGGAACTAAATTGGCAGAGCTTCCTCACACAGCGCGTTTTGCAGAGGAAGGGAAAGGAGGCTCAGGGTTACAGAAAGGGAAGCCTGCAGGCTATGGGGAAGCCACGGTTGGCTGGAGGCTGCCCTAAATCCTAACCAGTAAGTAGGGATATGCAGAGAGCAACGAAGGTCTAGGAGCATCCTGCAAAGCCCAGCCCCTCTCCAGTCCAGATGGCTGCTCTCCCAGGCCATTTCTTTCCTCTCCCACTACCTCTACACAGCACTGCACTGCACAGCCTCCACGATGGCCCCCAGGGACCCATCTCTTCCTGTATTCGTGTCTTTGTGTAACTCCCCCTCCCTGAATGTAGACTGCATATGTTGGCTTGTTTCTAGTGACTATAATACAGCAGCAGTGAGGGATGTCACTTCAAAGACTAGGTTTTTAAGATTGTGACTTCTGTCTCCACTGCTCTCTCTGTTGCTCACTCTGAAACAACTTGCCCACAGAAGCTAGGTGTCATGTCACGAGGAGGCCCCAGGGAGGGTCCACATGGCGAGAAAGCAATGCCTGCCACCAGCAGCACGTGAGTGAGCTTCAAAGCTGCCCCCTTTTCCCCCAACCTCCATCAAGACCTCAGATGAGACCACAGCCCCAGTCAATGGCATGACTGCAACCTTATAAGAGATTGTGGGCCACAGGTGCCCAGCAAAGCCATTCCCAGATTCCTGAGGTACAAAAACTGTGAGATAACATTTGTTGTTTTAAGATGCTACATTTGGGAATAATTTGTTACACAGCATAGATAACTAACACACTTTCATCTTATGCCAGAAAATCAAAACCCAGGTGTTTGGTTTTTTTTTTGAGATGGAGTCTCACTGTGTGGCCCAGACTGGAGTGCAGTGGCGTGATCTCAGCTCACTGCAACCTCCACCTCCTGGGTTCAAGCAATTCTCCTACCTCAGCCTCCTGAGTAGCTGAGACTATAGGCATGCACCACCACACCCAGCTAATTTTTGTATTTTTAGTAGAGACGGGGTTTCGCTGTGTTGGCCAGGCTGCTCTTGAACTCCTGGCCTCAAGTGATCCGCCTGCCTTGGCCTCCCAAAATGCTGAGATTACAGGCAGAAGCCACCACACGTGACCCAGGTCTATTTCTAAGATGCACAATGTCCACTCCTCCAGGGCCTGCAGAGAAGCTCTGGTCTGCTCTTCACTTTACAAGCAAAGCCAAGCATATCCTCTTCCAGAAACTTCCTACCTACTCTTTCCATCAGAAGCTCCATCTGCAGTCATCACACTGGGAGCATCAGACAGCCCCACTGCCTGCTGAGTCATGGCAGGGTGTGGAAATATGCTCATGTGCAGGGGTGCAAATGGATAAGAAGGCGATTATTAACAAAACTCCCAAACTCGAAGAAGACGGTCAGAGCCAAGGCTTTGAGAATGCAGGAAGAGCTTAGCAGTGTTGTTGACAAAATGTAAAACCACTCAGTGGACAGAATTGAAACCATTATCTTTTCATCAAGGCATCAAGAGAACATCTTACATCCTCAGCAAAGCCATCGTCTAGATTTTGAATTGAAGATCAGGGGATTGTACTGTCTGCCCCAGAAAACAGCCGTCCATCACGTACACAGTGGCCGTTCAAATAGTACTTGGATGAACGGACAGTTGGAAGGATGACGGATGGAAGACCCATCCAACAGTAAGTAGTTGTTAAGACTCCTAACTGGGGGAAGACTTCCTCAATCTGGTGGTTACAGAAGTCTAAAAAACACACACACACAATAAACTGAATTCCTAATTCCATCCACTGTGGTTCACAGATCTCATACAATGAATGCTTATTATTTAGACATTAAAAGTGTTTTCCCAGGTTAATTGCAGCAACTCATGTGTCTTCCAAAGAGCTCCTTTAGTCTTTCACATGGTGTAATTATGTTAAATGGAATACAAATATCACTGGTAAAAGCAATATTTTCTCCTTCATGCTTTCTTCAAGGGTTGCACAAAATATAATCTGGCTGGGTGGCCCGTCTCTTTGCTAGACTAATTGATCTAGCCCACATCTAGTTCCAGAATTTTCCCAGTGTAGAGGGCACTGGATAAGGCCCTGAGTGATCCTAAAGCCTTTAATTCACAAACACTAAATTCAATCCCAGGTGTCCAAGCTCAACCCACTTCAGGCCACCAAAGGTCAGGGAAGGGAGGAGAAAAAGCAAGAAGTCAGGCCGTTGTGAGTTCAAGTCATGGCTCTGCCTCATAGCAGCTGTGTGACTTTGGGCAAGTGATTTAACCTCTCTAGGTCTGTTTCTGCTTTCATAAAAAGAGAATAAATTGCACCTGCCTCATAGGATATAACTGGAAAGTGTTTAGCGCAGTGGCCAGCACATAGAAAACACCACGTGAGTGACACAGAGGGCAAGGTCTGAGGCCCTCAGAAGGTGGGGCAGAAGGGAGCTTTGAATGGGCAAGGTTTCCAGTAAACGGAACAGAGTTGGGACCAAACAGAGGAGAAAGCAAATGGCAGAGATTGCTCAACAATTTTTCCTAAGCAGATTTTCCGGGGCAGGGACAGGATGGGAGGAATCACTTGGTGACCTGGTTTTCCTAGCTCTTGGACCGTGCCATGGTCTTCATATCAGGCATTCTGGAAAATTCCATTAGAACTCTCCCTTCAAGACTAAAGAATTACCAGGCCCTTCTACCTCTTAATGTTCCAAAGAATTTGTATCCTCTTTGTTTAATCAGTCATGACCATACAGGCCTTACAGCTCATCAACCTTAATCCTTTCAGCAAACAGGTGATGAGGACAGGCGTAACACCTGGTCCCAGGTGCAATCTCCCCTTTCAGCTGTTGCCAGGCTCCCCACCTCTGACCTGTGAATGGGTCAGTATAGCTCATACCTAAACCAGAGCTGGGGTCAGGTGGTTGCATCCAACTGTGCAGACAGGACAACTTCTCGCTGCCTTGACGTATGACCCGCCCTGTCTGGTAAGAGAGGAGGAGACGCCTCCTCATTCAGAGAAGGAGGAAGAGAACGGGCAGCAGGTTGCCTACCTGGACATTCTTCATTGCTGCAGATCCACTGGCTGTTTCGGCAAATGCTGTTGGGGAAAGAAGCACAGGTCATTGGTGGTTCTGCAAACACAAGGGAATGCAAATGGATTTAGAGCTCACGGTAGTTACCACAGTCCCCAGACGAAGGGATGAGGGAGAAGAAAGGAGCCGGTGCCAGCAGAATCTTCATAGGGTTAACATTGTACAGGACAGGGATTTGGCCACAAAGGAATCTTACCTTTGTGGATATTCCCCAGGGGAAGAAACCCCAACAGAGAAAAAGAAGAAGAAAAAAGAAACTACCTGATGCCCCTGAAAATCTACTCAGGTACCAAGAAGTCAAATTTCTACCCCACACACAGTGAGTGGCAGACAGCAAGAGAGGGATACGGAAAGGGGGAGTTCCCAGCCAGAAGTGTGGTGGGCGCTGGCCGGCTGAGAACCTGGGGGCTCAGGGGACGCAGAAGGCGGCAACGCGGGGAAAGACAGCAAAGGGAGGAGGCCTGGGCGCGAAATGAGTTGTTGTCCCTGCTGTGCAGGGGACTGGCCAAGCCATCCAGAGGCGACACCCAGAAGTACTTCTTCAGATGACAGAAGGCAGGCTGGGTCCGGCCACTGCAGGGACTCAGGACCGCCTAGCAGACGAGAGATTTCAAGGAGAGAAGGACCTACGTGCTGCTAAGTGACACAGCCCTCCCCCAGGGGGAGAGGGTCATTTATGAAGGCACAGTTTGGACGGACAGCTAGAGTTGTTGTCCACATGTGAAGAATCCTGCCCTTCCTGACCTCCCTCTCTTCAAGGCTTATTTACCTGTAATATCTCTTTGCTCCCCAGCATTGCCTGTCACCCCTGTCCCTAGTCCCCGCCAGTAGCCTCCAACTCAGTCTCTCCTTTCTTGGCATGGGCCAGGTTCTTTTCCACCGGCCACCACCCCTGCAGACCCAGCTTCCCTCCCCAGTCCCCTGGGCAGCCGTCCCAGAGCACGCTGTGCCGCCCCTATTACCAGGTGTTGCAGTCTTGGGAGAGGGAGGTGCCGGGAGGGTAGCGCTTTCCGGAATGCACGCAGGGACACTCGGTGCTCTCCACGCAGACGCCTTCATCCAGGAGCTGTCCCTCTGGGGTCAAGGGCATCAGGGCAAAAATCTCAACACTGTCATTGCATCACTCATCCCACAACTATAGAATCCCCAGGGGCCATGGTGGGGCTTCTTCCAGGAAGCTCAAAGAACTTGTTCTGTGGTGTTTATATTTCTTTCACATAATGCACTATGAGGAAGCAAGACTCCTCATCTCCAGTCTACAGATGAAGAAATGACCAAAAGAACTGTGTTCCAGGCCATCCAGTAGGGGACGCACAAGTCCGGGATTGGGGCTTTTTCTAGGAAGCTCGAGAATGTGGGAGCTGCTTCCCTTACACATTAACGCAACGTGAGAGAGAGATTACTCGTCACCATTCCACAGATGAAGGAAGGGAGTCAAGAGTTTTGTTTAAGTTCTTCCAGTAAAGAAGCCATGAGCTGAAACACACAGGACTCACTCTCGTAATTTTTTTTTTTGAGACCCAGTCTCACTCTGTCATGCAGGCTGGAGTGCAGTGGTGCAATCTCGGTTCACTGCAACTTTTGCCTCCTGGGTTCAAGTGATTCTCCTGCCTCAGTTTCACAAGTAGCTGGGATTACAGGCCTGTACCACCACACTCAGCTAATTTTTGTATTTTTAATGAAGACCAGGTTTGATGATATTGGCCAGGCTGGTCTCGAACTCTTGAACTCAAGAGATCCACTCACCTCGGCCTCCCAAAGTGCTGGGATTACAAGCATGAGTCTCCGCACCCAGCCTTGCTCTCAATGATTAAACAGTGATATTCCCCAAAGTCCACCAAGGCTCTCCTGAGAAAGACTTTCAGTGCAGAGCCCTTTTTCAGCTGAGCTCACATGGCAAGCCCAGATCTTTTCCCCAGATCCGTTCCCTGACACACCTAATTGAGAAACAACTGCGGCTCAGATGGGCCACAAGTTCCCCAAACAAAGTGACTGTTGGGGCCCAAACCAGCCTCCAATTTCCCTAGACACAAGTGCGTTCATGGATACAGTACAACAGAAAAGCGTACATTAAAAATAAAGACCAGCTCAATCCTGATCACGCTGGACAAAGACATTTAAAAACTCAATAAAAGGCTTCTGATTTCGGCAACAGGGAGCAAACACAAGTGGCCTTCATCTCGCTTCCCAAAGCCAAGGGTGCTGGCGAGGTCTCTGATTTGTAAATAAAGTGGGAAGTTCATTACCAGGGCAGCTGCAGCCATCCACGCACTGCTCCTGACACACTTCATTGATGTGCAGGCTCTGGCAGGTCCCGGTGCAAGGGGACACACACTGCTTATACTGCATACCAGCAGGGCACACTGGGCCTGAAAGGAAAAGAAAGGGGTGTGCCCAGGGCAGGTCCCACCAGCCCATGGTCTTACCCGCCTCATGCAGCCTGAGCCTCTTGTGCCTACTTTGATCGCTCCCCTCTGTCTCAGGCTTCCTGGGCCATCTTGGCCCCCAGTGCCCCTCTGAGGCCACCCCTCCCTTTGACGAACATCTTCCATCCTGTGAGGCCCTTACTAAGACCCACCGGGGCAGCAGGATCACCATCCTTCCCCTTGGCCATCTGCTCACCATGAACAACTTGGCATTCTTTTGCCCTCCTTCACCTGAAACCCTTTCAGAGTGACACTAAATTCCTCTAGGCTCAAAAGGAGTGGCTTCCTAGGACCAAGCAAGGAGTCATGGTGCCCTCTATCCCATCCCTCCTCGAGGCTCCTTTTCCCCATGAAATTGGCCCCAATCAAATGCCCTGCCCAGCACAGGGCACATTTGCCTGCATGGTGACACTCATTTCGTGTTTATTTCCACTCTGCCGCAAGGCTGCCTTCACAGATATCACCTAAGCATTCTCTGTTCTTCCCGCTGGAACCAGCTCCTCACGGCAGGGACAGGCTCTCCTCCTTCCTCTCTCTACCCTGCAGCTGACTGATGCTCAGGCCGACTGAAAGACGGGAACACACAACCACTCTTTTACATGTTTTCTGACACCAAACTATTGCCCTGCAACCCTTCTCCAGGATACATCACGTATCTCCCTTAGCCTACGTTCAAAGACCTGAAAAAAAACAGGCGCTCAGCTTTACAGAGGAGAAGGCAGCTGCCGCACCCTCCTTCCCACACCCCGGCACAGGTGGAAAGCTCTTATGCAGCAGCCATTTGCCACACACCGAGACACACATGTGCGTGTAAAGACGTGGCCGGCTCCTCTGCCCCTTTATGGAACCACCGCAGACTGCTTGTCCATCTGCACGGCCTTTAATCACTGGAAGGGCTGGGGAAAGAGGACACTTCTTGCAAGGTGACCAGTGACCACAGAAGTCCCTACTTAATCGTAACTTAGGGACAATGAGCATAAATCGGGACCCAATGAGACTGGAAGATGAAACACACAGCACCACGAGTAAGGGAGGAGGGACAGCAGTCGTCAGCCTGGAGGAGAGAAGGCTGATTTAATAAAAGAGAGCTTAATCAAAGCGTTCTGCTCTCTCAAAGATCACAACGCAGACAGGCAGGCTAGCGCCCTGCTCCTCATCAATTTGGGTGGGCAGATGGTGGAGACAAAAACCAAACCCCAACTGCCGAGATCTTGGTGGGAAGCAGAGAACACTGCATGGGTGCAGGGGTTGGATGTCCTGAGGGGAATCATGGGGCACCGAAGAAGGCGTGGAGGTGGGACAGGACACAGGGCTTTGGGAACGCCCTTTGACAGAGGGCAGGAGCCATTCAGGAAATGCATGCGGGACACGTGGCTTTGCAGTGACTGGCTGGATGGGTGTGGTAAAGGTAGGTGACACTGTCCCAAAGCACCCTGAGGGACACCACCCAGGACAGATCATTCATCCCCGGAAGGGCAGGGCAGGGCGGGACGGGGCAGGCGGCCGACTTACTGCACGCGCCGTGGCTGGTCCAGCCGTACAGCACCATTCCCTCCTGGGCACAGGTCCGGGCGTACTCCAGGAAGGCAGGGCACACGCACTGCAGCCCCTCAGTACACTCACACAAAGTCTTCTCACACAGGGCCACGAAGGGCTCGGGGTCCACCAGAGGGTGGCAGCGGGCAAACACCGAGGTGCTCTTCAGAAGCTGGCACTGCTCCCACAGACCCTGCAGGAAGACGGGCCGCCTCAGCAATATGTTCCCTTCATATCTCCCTGAGTGTGGTGCTGAGACTTAGCCCTGCTAGGGAAACCAAGGCAGCTCCCTCAGCACCTAGGACGGGCTGGCGCCAAGCAGATGCACAGCAACTTGTGTTCAATGCACCAGCCCATCGACCAAGGAAAAGACGCTGGACTCGTGCAGTGAGAAGCAGACCAAGGCCAAGATGACATTCGAGACTGAGTCCTGGAAATGTAGAGTCCAAGGCCCTGGACTGCCGTGGCAGGCAGTGTCCTAGGAATGGAAAGACGATGGAGAGAAGCACAAAGAGCGCCAGCCTTGGGGTTGGGCTGGGTGGCTGCAGAGTCCAGGAATGCTGTCAGAATCGGTTCTGCACCAGCCTGGCCAGCTCCCCTCCCTGACCTTGATCTTCCTCACTAAGAATGAGGGGGTGGGACAAGGGGTTTATAGAGATTCCTGGCCCTTACCCTAAGAGATCTGAATTCAGTAGGCTGGGGATGGGGGTCAGCAGGATGTTTTTTTTGAAACACTCCCTGGGTGATTGCTGAGGCCAGATGGGACCAGTTCCCGTCAGCAACAGCATGCAGGGATTCTGCGGAATGCCCCAGACACACAGCAGCCGGCCAGGGTACTCCTGGTTCTACCACTTTGTTGATGCCCTCAACCTAATAACACAGGCAGCTTTGGAACTGTCATCATTTCCCACTTCTGCTCACTCACGAGTGTAAACAACCCTACATGTTTTACCGAGAAACGTCTCTCCATTCTATGTATTAATGATTCTAAATACACCTTTTTCCCATAGTGTCACATCTCTGAAGTTGGAGCGCGTCCTGTGATGGCTATCACATTTAAATTGGTAACCTTTTGTTTCTGAGCGATGCACAGAACAATGGTGTGTCTTAGAATCCATGATGTCAGCCAGGTACGGTGGCTCACACCTGTAATCCCAGCACTTTGGGAGGCTAAGGCGGGTGGATCACCTGAGGTCAGGAGTTCAAGACCAGCCTGGCCAAGAAGGTGAAAGCCCCTCTCTACTAAAAGCACAAAAATTAGCCGGGCATGGTGGTGGATGCCTATAATCCCAGCTACTCAGGAGGCTGAGGCAGAGACATGCTTGAACCCAGGAGGTGGAGACTGCAGTGAGCTGAGATTGCACCACTGCACTCCAGCCCACGTGACAGAGCTAGACTCCATCTTAAAAAAAAAAAACACCGGGCACAGTGGCTCATGCCTGTAAATCCCAGCACTTTGGAAGGCCAAGGCGGTGGATCACGATGTTAGGAAATTGAGACCATCCTGGCTAGCACAGCAAAACCCTGTGTCTACTAAAAAAAAATACCAAAATTTAGCTGGCCATGGTGGTGAGCCCCTGTAGTCCCAGCTACTTGGGAGGCTGAGGCAGGAGAATCACTTGAACCCGAGAAGCGGAGGTTGCAGTCAGCTGAGATTGCACCACTGCACTCCAGCCTGGGCGACACAGCAAGATTCCATCTCAAAAAAAATTAAAAAAAAAAAAAAAAGAATCCATGTTTTCTTAGCTTTGGCACAACACAGAGTTATGGATATATATAATCCCCATGATTTCTTTCTTGCATAACTTCTTGGATGCATAACGCATACTCTCCTAGTGACAAAGCTGACAGTTCATGAAAGGACTCATCTTCAGCCAAAAAGAAAAAAAGTGCAGGAGTATCTCAATGGAAGGACTGAGTCCTGACGGGTAAAACTGGAGCCAGTCGGTGTTTGGAAAGAGGATAGTAAAAAAGAGGAAAGGACCCGTTTTGAGCAGAGGGAAATTCAATGAGCTCAAATTGTACAAAGGGTCTCCAGAGCAAGCCTGTGTGAATCTGCAGCCGGTGCCAGGAGCCGGGCCCATGGGTCTCCTGATTTGCAGCGCCACAGAAAGCCCAGAGGAATAGAAAACTGACCCCATCTGCTCACCCTCCTCGAAATCCAATCTGGCAGCACAGGGATGTCGGTCCTAGGGAAATCAGTGTCCTACCCCCAGTGCCCACTGCTAGGGCCCTGCCCCTTGCTAGGCTTGCACACATTCCACCATCAAAGCCAGGTGAGCAGGCTGGGTGCAGTGGCTCACACCTGTAATCCCAGCACTTTGGGAGGCTGAGGCGGGAAGATCACTTGAGGTCAGGAGTTTGAGACCAGCCTGGGCAACATGGCGAGACCCTGTCTCTACTAAAAACACAAAACTTAGCCGGGTGTGGTGGCACATGCTTGGAATCCCACCTACTTGGGAGGCTGAAGCAGGAGAATTGCTTGAACCAGGGGGTGGGGGGCATGGGGGAGCAGTGGTGGAGGTTGCAGTGAGCTGAGATGGTGCCACTGCACTCCAGCCTGGGCGACAGAGCAAGACTCTGTCTCAAAAAAAAAAAAAAAAAAAAAAAAAAAGCCAGGCAAGCAGAACAAAATGTCCCAGCCACACCCAGGTCGCAGCAGGCCCTGGGGTGCCCAGCAGGGAGGTCCAGGCCCCAGCTGGCCCAGAGCTGGGAGTGGCTGGTTCCCTCTGCACCTTAGGAAAGCAGCCACTGGCATGAGCTGCTGAACTGCAGAACTGCAGTGGGCAGGCTCACGGGGACGGCCATCAGTTGCTCTGCGTCTAGGGACCAGGAGCCCACGGCAGCCTCTCCACGGCCCCGCCTTGCCCAATTCCCTCCTGTCGGGCCATACCCACTGTGTGGCTGTGAAGAGCCTAGGCCTAAGGCTCTGCCACTTACTGGCTGTGGGGACCTAGGCAAATCGGCTGACCTGGTCGGAGAAGTGTGTCCCGGACTCAGAATACCGTGTGGAAGTGACCACAGTCTCAGGCGACCTGGTGGGGCCGTGTGAAGACGCCACAATACCAGCACCACAGAGGTCAGCCATGAATGCAGGCCACTGCTGTGGGTCCCAGGACCACTCAGGTCTCAGGTGGTTACATGCAGCCTTCCACTGGTCACCCTGAGCATTTTACACAAGGGGAATCTGAGGCTTCTGAAAGCAATGACCAGGAAGACTGACAGAGGTGGGCAGGCCTGCCTTGGCCTCATCATGACTTCCACAGCCCCAGGTCCAGCCCAGCGCCTTCCACATGCTAGCTTGAAAGATCAGGCTGCTTACTCAACCCCTCCTCCTCTGCAAAACCGGGGAGAATGATAACAGCTCCCATGTGACAAGACTAGCGTAGACTGAGCAGAATATGCACGCAGAAGACTTACCTTAATAAATGATGACCTCGTCATCATCATCATCTTCTTCTTCTTCTTCCTCATCATCGCCTGGCTACCAGAGAGACCCCTTTCGCTGTCCTCCAGCCACGAGGCTTACCCACTAGAATAGGGAGCAGGTCCCCAGCAGAACAGAAGGACACCTTTGTCCTCTTCCCCTTATCTCCATCTCCCTGGGCTATACTCAGATGAATGGTTGCCAGGGCAACACTATGGCTTCCCAGTATCTTGGGTGCTCCTTAGGGAACACAGGGGCTGCTTTTGTTCATCTTTTATTTGGGAAGTTCACACTCCTCCAGAACAAAGTGAGCTTCCTCCTAGTAGCAGGGAGGGAACCTCTCTTCTTTGCAATAGGCAGAACTTCCATCCTGATTGCCAAGTTGGGGCTCAGGAAAGGAGGCTGAGGCCTCCAGTAAGTGGCAGAGCTGGGCCTTAGGCCTAGGCTTTCCACAGCCACACAGTGGGTATGGCCCGACAGGAGGGGATTGGGCAAAGCGGGGCCATGGAGAGGCTGCCGTGGGCTCCTGGTCCCTAGACGCAGAGCAGCTGATGGCCGTCCCCGTGAGCCTGCCCACTGCAGTTCTGCAGTTCAGCAGCCCATGCCAGTGGCTGCTTTCCTAAGGTGCAGAGGCTGAGGCCTCCTTCCCTGAGCCCCAACTCTTTCCATTGTGTCTTTCTTTCCATTTCCTGTGTCTTTCTTTCCATTCTGCCATGCTGCCCACCCCATCAAAAATGCCACTCGGGAGCTAGGTCACTGAACTCAGGGTGCAGATGAAGGTGTCCCAGAGAGGGCCATGCGCACAGGCTCTTGTCTAGCCCTTGCCCACCCACAATTTGAAACTAGAGAAAACCTTAAAAAGGCACTCCCTGGGGCTTTTCTGGTCATTGCTATGACTGCTGCCATCACCCGGGCTGTAGGACAGGTGCTCAGAGCACCACAGGACTTATTTCTGCAGGCACAGGGACCAGGAACCAGGGATTCTCACCGGCAGGGTGCAGTACCAACCAAGGGAAATTGGAGACCCAGGATGTGGGCACCCTCCCCTCTCAGAGCCCAGCATGGCCCATGTCCAGCATTTCCAAATCAGTCTTTCCCACTCAGAGGCATAATGGGAACAGCACCCTAGCACATTTCCTGGGAGGTCCCTGGAGGTAGTAAATGGCTTATAGAAAGCCTCAGCAAAAGGGTGTTTCTGATGACTTGCCTGCGGGATGGGAGTGGATTTCTGCAGAAACAGCCACCTCCCTGCTTAGAACAATTCCTTTGGCCTCCACCGTAAAAACTTCTGAAATCTGCCTAAGGTTTCTTTCTCAACAGAAACAAAAGATGAAGTCTGTCCTCCCATTTGTCCTTCAGCCTTCCTCTGGTCAGGGATGGCCTGAACTTGGCCCACCTGAGTGGTCACAGTCTGAAAGCCGGGCAGGACTTGCAGAGGCCTGCCCAGCCCCTGCGGCTGGATCCGCCCTCACCTGCAGCCACACCACACGGCATGTTTAGGTGGCTACCTCCGCTGCTCCCAGCTTCCCTGTTCTGCCACAGGTAGCCCTGCCAGGCCAGATCAGGTCCTGAGACAGGGCACAGAAATAGGTCCGAGGAGGAGTTGGCATCTTGTATTCGTGGCAGAGACACTGGCAGGCAGGTGGTCACCAAATCATTCACTCAGCAAGCGTTAGCAGTGTTGTCTCTGGGTCTCCAGCAGGGTGTCCAAGCCCATATAAAATGCAAGTCTAACTATGTATGTCCCACCCTGGCAGACAGGGCAAAGCTCTAGCTCGTTAGGAGGCAGCAAAGTCAGGTTGCTCACCCTGCATGATCTGACCCCGGCCTGGCTCTCCAGCCTCACCCTCCCTGCTCCCCACCCTATACACTGTGCCAGGCTCAAGGAATGCAATAGAAAGCATGCGGTCAGGTCCCAGCCCTCATAAACCTCAGCGGGGGAACCTGCCCCACTGCCCATCCCCTCTGCCCTCCCGCATTTCCCCCTTCTTTGGCTCCCACTAACTCCCACCCCACATCACTTCCAGAGCCTCCTTTTCCAGGAAGCCTTCTCAGACAGGTCCTTCTCCCCACGCTGCCGAGTCAGTTCTCACAGCCCCCTGGGGGCCTCTATGCTTGTACTGAAATTGTCCATTTCTGGAGCCAGCGCCTCCATTTCTCTGCAAGCTTTTCAAAGACAGAAGCTGTATTCCCAGGGCACACATGGAAGGCGGTAAGGACATGCTGGATGAAACCTAACAGTGATGAACGCAGACAGGAGTAAGTCATGCCCTCCAGCTCTTAAATGGCATTCGGTCTACCTGAACCGGGTGTTTCTATGGGGATTTCTGCATAACAGCCTGGAGAGTTGGTGCTCACAGAGGGGTGTCTTCCCAATGGTGCAGCCAATGGCAGCAGCAAGAAACCTGCATCTGAGACGCCAGGGAAGGCTGCCTAACAGGAGGCAGGCTGCGCCAGGCCCTGGATGCAATGCAGGACTTAGCTTGCAGGGCAGGAGGGAGGCCACCCCAGGTGAAGCCAATGGCATCAGCTCAGGCAGGAGGAGAAACAGAGTCACTACAGCTGAGCCGAGCACTGAGACTCCAGCCCAGTCTTGCCAACAGATTCCCCAGGAAAGGCTGTTCCCAGCCAGTGGCCTTAGCTTCTCTTGGCAAATAGTTATGGCCCCCATCGTAATCCAAACCCAACCAAGCTCTCCTTGAGTCGGTGTCTATTTTCTGTCTGCTCCCATGCCCTCAGACCTTTCCATGAGTGTTCCTGCCGGCACGAAGTTCTCATAGGCCCCCTTCTCTCACTTCTCCCAGGTGATGCCCTCCATGGCTTAGAAACGGCTCTGCGTGCCCTCTTTTCCTGTGGGAATTGGGCACAGTCAGGCACACCAGTGGGTGGGGAGGGCAGCAGGAGCAGGCGGGAAGCCTAGGCCAGGCACCTCTGGCTCTCACCATCCACTCAGTCATGGGGGGCTGCTGGCTTACAGAGCTCCCCAGCCAGAGGGCCCTCCACAGGTTCTACCTCGATCCTCCTGCGTTCCGGAAAGGCTGAGGCAAACCTCGCCTCCTTCTCCACCGCTGACCTCTCTTCTAGCCCACCTAGTTTCAGAGACCACCTCATCACCCCCTGCCACAAACTGGCCTGAAGACACCTTCAAAAAGCACAGCTCTCCTCAGACAAAGGCTGATACAGGCTTTCATGTTTGGAAACTGAGGCACGGAGTGGGTAAAGAATTTACTAGGTCGGCCAGGCATGGTGGCTCACACCTATAATCACAGCACTTTGGGAGGCCAGGGCAAGTGGATCATGAGGTCAGGAATTCGAGACCTGCCTGGCAAACATGGTGAAACCCCATCTCTACTAAAAATACAAAAATTAGCCAGGCGATCCCAGCTACTCAGGAGGCTGAGGCAGGAGAATCGCTTGAAGCTGGGAGGCAGAGGTTGCAGTGAGCCAAGACCTGACCATTGCACTCCAGCCTGGGCAACAGAGCAAGATTCCATCTCAAAAACAAACAAACAAAAAGAATTTACTAGGTCAGCGGTTATCAAGGTGGGGTCCAGGGGTCCCTTAGGGACTCCCGAGATCCTTTCAGGGGTACACAAGGTCAAACCTGTTTTCACAATAATACCAAGATGCTACTTGCACTTTCTTCTCCCACTCTTTCACCAAAGTGCAGCCAGGTTTTCTGAGACTGTGTGACATGAGATAATCACAACAGATTTAAATGCAGACGCAGGTATGAGAATCCAGACAATGTATCCGAAGCCAGACAGCAAAGAGATTTGCAAAACTGTAAAACAGTGTCGTTTTTGCCCCTAAATTATTTTTTGGTTTGGAATGTATAGTTCTTTTTATTTAAAAATATGTTCTTTACATTAAATATGATAAGCTTGTTATTTTTAAATGAATCAATAAATACGTTTTAAATTTCTGGATTATATCTAATATGGTATCAAGAGATAAAACCCACATAAACAAAATCTCTTTAAAGTCCTTCGTAATGTTTTAAGAACATAAAGGGGTCCTGCAACTAAACAGAACTGCTATCCAATTGGGCTTTTTGTTTTCCTTTGGTTTTTTTGTTTTTTTTTTTTGAAATGAAGTCTCATTCTATCGCCCAGGCTGGAGTGCAGTGACGCGATCTCGGCTCACTGCAACCTCTGCCACCTTGCAGGTTCAAGCAATTCTCCTGCCTCAGCCTCCTGAGTAGCTGGGATTACAGGTGCCTGCCACTGTGCCCGGCTAATTTTTGTATTTTTGGTAGAGATGGGGTTTCACCATCTTGGCCAGGCTGGTCTTGAACTTCTGACCTCGTGATTCACCTACCTCACCCTCCCAAAGTGCTGGGATTACAGGCGTGAGCCACTGGCCCGGCCTCAATTGTTAAATTAAGTTTAGCCAAAAGCTGCCTCCTTAGACATTTTAAGCCAGGCTTAAAGGTTTCTCCCTATGTAATGAACTATAATCTAACTGGAGATGTAAACACACTGCAACCTACTCTTGGGCCAGCCACAGTTTTGGCCCGTCACAGGCAGCCCACTGTTCAAACCAGGTTCTAATAAGGCAAACGCTGAGCTGTAGCCAACCCAGCTGTTTCTCTACCTCATTTCCAATTTCTGTAAGTCACTTTTCTTTTTCTGTCCATAGATCTCCTTTGACCATGAGGCAGGCCACAGTCTCTCTGAGTCTGTTCTGACTCCAGGGCTGCCTGATTCATACATCATTCTTTGCTCAATTAAACCCTGTTACATTTGTCTGAGGTTTTCTTTTAACACGAGTGATGAGGTGACTAAGCAGGGGTGCAAACCCTGAGTCCATTCCAAACCACAAATTACATGGCTTTCCACCCTCCCCTCCCCCCACCCCATTTCCTAACAATCAGATTACAAGACGGGGTCATACACTCGATATAGTTCAGGTTTTAGAAGCATGGTTGGGCGAGAATCCCAACCCATCACTTTCAAAGTGTGACTTTCAATGTGTGACTTTAAGAAAGGTATCTCAGCCAAGCACAGTGGCTCACCTGTAATCTCAGCACTTTTGGAGGCCAAAGTGGGCAGATCACCTGAGTCCAGGAGTTCAAGGCCAGCCTGGGCAATATGGCAAAACCTTATCTCTACAAAAATATCCTAAATTAGCCAGGCGTGGTGGTACATGCCTGTAGTCCCAGCTACTCAGGAGGCTGAGGCAGGAGGATCACTTGAGCCTGGGAGGCAGAGGTTGCAGTGAACCGAGATTGTACCACTGTACTCCAGCCTGGGCAAGAGAGAAACTCTGTCTCAAAAAAAAGAAAGACAATTATCTCACCTCTCTGCACCCCCATTTCCCCACCTGTGAAAGAGAGGGAGAGTGGAAGAGGTTGAAAGTTGTCCAGGATCTATTCTCGCCTTCTTTCTTAGCCACAGAATCCTCAGTTTTCAATTCTCCCCCTGGGTACAGAACTGCTGGGAATAAGATTCCACTTCTCAGCATCCCTTGCAGCTGGGGCCGGCCATATGATTAAGGATTGCCCAGTGGGCTATAAGCAGAGGGGTCTTGCACCATTGCCATTATGTGTCCTCAAAATAAGGGGCTTCTGAGTCTCTTCCTTTCTTTCTTTTTGTTTGAGACTGAGTCTCGCTCTGTCGCCCAAGCTGGCATGATCTCGGCTCACTGCTACAACCTCCACCTCCTGGGTTCAAGCCATTCTCCTGCCTCAGCCTCCTGAAAGCTGGGATTACAGGCCCACGCCACCACATCTGGCTAATTTTTGTATTTTTAGTAGACACGGGGTTTCACCATGTTGGTCAGGCTGGTCTCAAACTCCTGACCTCATGATCCACCTGCTTCGGCCTCCCAAATTGCTGGGACTACAGGTGTGAGCCATCACACCCAGCCAGTCCCTTCTCTTTCTACTGCAGGAATGTGGTGGTGATGGCCGAAGCTTGAGATGGCATCTTGGAGCATGAGGTAGACAGCGGGACCCCGGATCCCAACACCATGAGATCCTGCACCAGCCCTGGACATCCTACCCCAAGCTTCTTTACATGAGAGAGAAATAAATTTAGATTGTGTAAGTCCTGTCCCTCACAGCTGAACCTACTCCTAACGGACACAGAGAGCAATACTCAGACCTACCCTAGAGGGCAGCTGCAGAATGAAATCGAAGGAGATGACACCAGGAAATCAAATGCTCATAACTATTCTCATCTGCCTGCTGCCCAGACTGGCTCCTCAGTTCTCTGCTAAACCATTCTGGCAGGGATGCAAAACAAGGGCCAGCTAATTTGCGCACTTCCAGCATCTCCCTGGCTCCAAAGCCCTGCATCGGCTACCCCTGTCTTCTTTCAACTCCCGCCTACGGTGCCAGAAGCTGCAGGAGAGCAGCTGCCCTAGCCCATCCAGCCATGACGTCACCGTGCCTGGGTTGGTGTGCAGACCCAATTGTGGCCCATCTTAATCACATCTCCAGTTCATTAAAGACGACCAGGCATCTTCCCTGGAGACATCAGGCAGGCGCAGGAGGACATCAGCGGGGAGGAGGGAAAGCAAGCTCATCTCCCCAGTGGCAGGCGGCAGGAGGAGAGAAAGCAGAGCCAGAGAGCTGAAGCTTAGCTATTGTGTTTGCTCCCAAGCAGCTGACAAAGGAGTAGGGAGGGGGACATTCCTAGGACTGAGTGAACAAAGAAAGGAAAGTCTAATACATAAAGTGCAAGATTGTTCCGCAGGCCCTGGGCTTTCTAGCTGTGGGGTGGATTGCCCTGCAGCGGACCCTGGTAGGTGTGGAGGCGCCTGGAGCCTGAGCTGCTCCAAAGTGGTGGGTTCGAGAATTCACCCTGCAGCAGGGAACACCTTCTCATTGGTCAGCCTGTAGACGGATGAGGGAGGCTTGCTGATTCCATTTATAACTTCTGGCTGGCCTAAGATTCCCACCCGCATTCCAATGTTCTGACTCACAAGGACCCGGTAAAACCGGTTGATAGACTTCCACCAAACGAATGGTTTCTGCAGAGTATTCCTCTCCCTAAGACAGTTGGGGTACAGTGCTCATGAGACGCAGGACAGTTGGCCATGGCACTCTCTAAG